ATTCCATTTTGGTCCAAACTAAAATTACAGCGAGCCAAAAAATTAGTTCTGTGACAAAAAGAAGACCTAAATATTCAGGATTTGCCCTAAAAAGTCTGACTTAACACGCATGTGTATGTTTTCGGGGTCTCGGAAAGACTTAATAAAAACAGGAAATTATAACTAAAACAAAAAAAAAATTTATGCTCATGCACTTGATCGTCGCAAGGACCGTTTTAAGAAATCTTTAAAAACCCGGATCATCAACGTGAAACGGACATCCGAGAAGCTGGTTCGAGTCGACGAATCGCCATTCCGGCCGAGAGATTCAACCAAAAATGAGTTACAAATTCGGGAACAAAACAAGATTAAAATTAATAAAAAAAATATAGGGCCGATCCCTGACAGAACCAGACGGTTCGTAGTGGGAAACGCCTGGTTCACGATATATTCAAGAAGCCAAGACAGCCCCACTGATCCGACCTAGTATTTTGTTTAAGATTTTCAACAAATAAAATTCATTTATCTATGTTGGAAAAGCAAAAGCATGCCAAAGGTAAGACAAAATAAAATTTGGAGAGAGAAAGAAGGATGGGAGGGGTATTGGTCCAACAAGCCAAGAAACATGGATATAAATGACTTGGAGGCAATTTTAAAGTTCTTTTCATGAGTTTGTGCTAACGCCAAAAATGAATATTTCAAAAATAAATATATATATTTCCACCATGGACGGTCATGCTGGTCTCGAGCCTAGATAAAGGAGAGTTGTGTTAGGAAGGACAATCAACGTAAAATTTTGTTGCATTTTTTCATGAATCCTAATCTTATGTTACTAAAATTAGCCTGACGAAGACAAAATATATGGAATGCAAGTTTAGCAATAATAAGAGTAGAAATGAGGAAGTAATTAAGATTGACGACTAAGAAATAACTAAAGAAATTATTTTCCATATCTTGATCGGTAATCTAAGAGAATGGAGGGATTAAGGAAGATGTCGAGCATAGAATTAGAGCTTGGTGAGCTTGGTAGGCAAAGTGGTAAGACTAATCATCTTTTTATGGGACGAAGTATTGGACAGTCAAGAAACAACATATCTATAGCATAAATATAGCTAAGATGATGTTGAGATGGATTAGTGGCAATACAAGAAATGATAGAACTCGAAATGAATACATATAAGGAAACTTAAGATAGCTTCAGTAGGCGATAAGATAATGGAAAATAGACTTACAAAGGCTAGCCATGTAGAGCATCGACCTAATATAACACCGGTTACGACAAGAGATTTGGTTCAAGTCAAAAACTCTAAGAGGGCAAAGGAAGCTTAAAAGAACATAGATGGAAGTAGTAAGAATAGATATGACAACTTAATGGCTGATTAAAGGTATAGTCCTTAATATAGTAGATTAGTATAACAAGATTCATGAAGCCTTCCACAAATAGTTGGGAAAAAGCTCGGATGATGATAATGATGTATGGGAAAGGTTGGCGTGAGCCCACTAGCTCATGGAACCGCGTGAACCCAATTTGCGCAAATCCAATAGTCACGATTACATTTTATATTTGATTTTTAATTTTTTCTATAAATCCAAATCACTTGAAATTTAGAAATTTTAGAATCTAATAAAAATATCAAAAAAATAATTTACAAAAATAAATTAACCAAAGCATCCCAAAATTTTTCAGGGGTATTTTGGTTGATTTATATTTTGTGAATTATTTTTTAATATTTTTATTAAATGCACTTTGATGAAAAGAATGAACGCTTAAAAGTTCATATGATTTGGATTTGTAAAAAAAAAAAAAAAAAATACAAACTATAGACGTGACCATCAAATCAGCCCAAATTCAATCTGGGTTGTGGGCTCATATATAGATGCGAGCTAGTGGGCTCGTGCCGGCCTTTCCATATATATACATATGTATATATGAACAATTATTTCATGTAGGCTGGACCGCATTTCTACAATATGCGATCCAGAGGTATAAAGCATCCATCTTTAAGATGGATGTAAATAGGTGGTCCATCTAAAAACAAGTGTAACTAATAGTCCAAATGTTTTTTTAGTGTAATTATTATTTCTAGTTTTAAATCTTATTTTATTTTTATATTCATGATCTACATGTTAAATATTATATATGCTCTTAAAATTAAGATCAAATTATATTTTAAAATATATTTATTGCCAACCCCGCATTTCTACAATATGCGGGATGGCCGCATAGAAACCGGGTCGTGTATATATATATATATATATATTGTTAGTTACTACTATTTTTTAGTCAAGTTTTCATAGATTCGAGCTACATAATTTTTGAAGCTTTAAATTTTATAATTAAAGATAAAAATATATTTTAAAGCTATCACAAAGATTACATATATTGAAACCACTATTTATGATGCGCTTTACTTTGATTACAAACTGCACCCATTATGTAGTTGCCCAAAAGATGAGGCCCAAGTATTACTACCTTTACACCCAAATGGGGCCTTTAACAGAGATAGGATGGATATTTGTAGTCTTGTAGATGAAATTGTCCAATTAAACATTGGCGCGGTTGCATTAAGGTGTCAACCTTACACAATTAAAGGAAAGCGCTCCTACAAAATTTGTCTAAGAGATGCAATTTGGTGAAGAAAATCTTTACAATGACCCAAAATTTATAATTATGAAATTTAAATATTTAAAATAATATCGATTGAGTAAATCCATAATTACTTCAAAATTTAAAAGATAGATAGTCTATATATTATGAACTGTATCATTTTTAAAACTGGAAATCATTTTCTTTCAGATCCAAATATCTTGACGTTAATATGATAAATTGAAAGGTTTTCTGGCATTCGAACAATTTAAATTATTGAGGTGCACCTTGTGGCGCTTTATATAAACTTCCTCCGTTAATAATTATGGACGCACAAGTGAGTTATGCATACGAGAATAGAAATGGTCGTTCTCCCTTGGAAAATAAGAGGATGTGGTTTCTACAAAGCTGCAGCCCGGCCATTTGAAATATGGCTTCAGCTAGGAAAAGCGATGGGATCGTGGTGGTAGCACCTCACACTTTAGTCACCACATTGTGGTTTTCATTCCTACCACTAACATTATCCCATTAATATTTCAAAAAAAAAAAACCTAACTTCTAATTTACTTAAGGTAGGGGCATTCTTTCCCCACTGAATTACCCAAAAAACACAATTAAAAGAAATATCGCTTCAGCAATATCTGTTGTCTATTTATTTGAACGGTGCATATTTGGCACAGTATGCAACCAAGGAAACTTGGGCTTCCCACGCAATTGTTAGCTCCCATTTTCAAAAACTTTCAAAGTTCTCATCAGTATTTTTCAAGGGCAAACTCTCTATACTTCTCCTAATGTATAATAGTTATATACTTCCCTTTATCTAGCAATCATATCTGACTGAACGACTGAGATGGATCCAAGTACAATATCATGCCTTTACACTGTTTTATTCTTAATATTTTTTATACAAAACATTTTGACACCAAACTTTAGCCGTCCGCTATTCTTTTAAACTCATCCAAGAAAAAGGCATAAAAAATATTCCCGATAGCATAAAAAATGACCAAAATACTTTTGAAAGTTTCAGGAGTATTCTGATCATCTCATTTTATTAGAAATATTATTTCTATATTTTTTTTAGGTAGACCCTATTGAGATGATGGCATGTGCCAAATTTCATATTCATATAATTTGTAAATAAAAGCTAAAAATAAAATTGAGGCATCAGATCTAAGATCAAACAATCAACAGCTTATTTGATCTAAACCTGAACGGCTGGATTGAGGAGGTGGCAAGGGGGGGATTATAGAACTTCTATACAGTAACGGAAGTAAGAAACCTTTCCCAATTTTCAAGCCTCCCAAATTCTTTTCATGAACTTCTCTCCCACAATTCTCTGGCTCTATCTCAAACTTCTCTCTAAACCTCTCGATTTTCTTCTCCCCACCCTCTCTCTCTATCTCTATGTTTTCTTCTCTTTTTTTGGATAATTCAGTGGGAAAAACAGACCCCTACCTATTTTTTCTCAAATAATTTAAGAGTTATTTTTTGAAGGTGTCAGTGTGGAGTCACCAGGAATGAAAACTACAACATGGTGACTAAGATGGAAGTGCTACCACCACTGTCCCAGCCCCTTTCCCCCTCTCTCTCTACTATTGAATTCAAACATGCACTACTCTCTTTCACGAACTTTACCTTCAAAACCGTTTCTTCCTCAAAACCTCCTTTCAGTCCTCGAACCCCAACTACCAAATCCACTCAAACAAAACAAAAAACAAAAAACCCAACTCCCAGATCACACCAAAACATTTTCCAAAGGGAGAGAGAGAGAGAGAGAGAGAGAGAGAGAGAGAGCTTCTGAGTTTTGATCTTGAGCTCAAGGCACTCCTAGAATCATGTTCCCAAGGAAACCTGAATATGGAAAACCTGACATGGAATTTCATAATAAACCCTGAGAAAACAACCAAAACCCTGAGTCAACAAATACTCATGCTTCCATTTTTTATTGACTACCCACAACAAGAATTGTTAAGACCCAAGAACGTGAATATAATCAAGACTGCTCATCAAAAGCATATTAGTTCTGCAAAGACCCACTCAGTCCCATTCTAAATTACATATCCATAAAAAGGAAGGTTTTAGGCTCAAATATAATACATATTTCAGTCGCACACCGTCATCGCAAACATAGATGAGTGATTCACTACAAACATAGACAAGGATAAGTGCTTCGCTACGCTTTCTTGTGCCTATCAACTTACTCAGTTGCCTGCCTCTATTGGTTAGCGAGACTTTTCCTGTGGACTATGGTAGTACAAATCGCTACGCTTCGCTTGTCCTGCTGACACCACCCACTGACACTTTCAAACAAGCTAACTCCCTAATCCATATGAAAAGGTGGGTAGGGGCCTGTCTTCCCCACTGAATTACCCCAAAAAAAAAAAGTGTATAAAGACAAAATCTTACACTGGAAGGGAAAACACATTGAACCATAGAATTCTCCAAATCCATAACATTCAGAGCAACAAATAAACATGAGAGAATAGAAGCGCAAGATACCAGTATAATACATTAAAGTACAAGAGAATTTCCAAATATCCATCAGATTTAGAACAAATAAACATGGGAAAATAGAAGCACAGCATACCACTATTTATACACACTAACTACGTATATATACAATTGTTATGCAGCGTAAAGGGTCGATAATTCCCTTATATGTGGTGCGGTGATTCCAATTTCACCTGCACTTCTTGAGCTCCCCATAAACGAGTTGTTTCGAAGACAAGCAACCCCGTAATAGACCTTGATATGTAAAAAAAATTCTGTAAGATTTTTCCCTTTTTTTTTTTCCTGTGGTCTTTTAATAGATGACCAATTTCCTTTTTTCATTTCAAAAAAAATGGACCAATTTCACCATGCTGAGTTTCCCATGGAGAACTGCTAGAGAGAGATCCTCGGATAGATAGAAGCAAAGTGCTTCACAATGGTATACAGAGGTTTATGGCAGGCCCTTAGCATCCCTTGGGGTTCTCTCTTCCTGAATTTCTTCTAGCTCATCCTCATCTGCTCTCCTGCCTGCCTGTTCCTTCCAGTAAGCCACCAATTTTTTCAACCGTGCAACTTCCTTTGTTGTCACATTTTTGCTTGCGTCATTGATTATGGCACGCACTCTCGAAGCATACCTAAAGAAAAGAGGAGATGATACATTATCACATGGACACTTTTTTTAAGAGATATGTCCATATAAATGAAAAGCGGTTTGATTTGGTTCAAACTAAAGGCTCTAAAAGGACAAGGAGACGGCCCAAAAGGACATGAGTAAAAGTAGTGCGAAGAGATATTGCTTGTGGCTTGACTAAAGGTATAGCCCTTATACAACAGAATTGCATAACATGAATCGTGTAGTCAACTCCAAATAGTAGGTATAAGGCTTGGATGATAATGATGATAATAATAATCAATACAAATGACAAAAAATAAAATAAATAAATAAATAAATAAATAAAATAAAATAAAATAAAATAAAATAAAATAAAAAACTCGAGTGCCATGCGTAAACTTCCAAGGGACCAAGAGCACACTCATGGTTTCCTGAGGACACATGAACTATAAATGCCCACTGATTTCCCATTGTAAACACGTTTTCCTATGGAAAAGACAAATCAGTTTTGCCATTGACTAAACATGTTTTCCTATAGAAAGCCAAATCAGTAAGTTCTAGGAAATATCAAAAGCAACTAATAAAATGAGACTTTGACTCGACTCGGAAGAACAGAATCCTAATATTCTGGGGGAGAAAAATCCGAAGGGTATTCATAAATAAGTAAGAAAATTACTCCATTCCCCTATAAAGTCAAACTAATTACTCCAATTTGATGTCCGGATCTATTTTCATGCGTTTCCTTCCCTTTGAAAGTTAGGTGTGCCTATTATCAAGGTTAAAATGTTCTGCAAAGCACTAGCTTTCAATAAAAGAAGGTCATCCATATCATGTGAGGCATCTACTTCTCAGGAGGAAGATGATATTTCTCGTTATTTTGAGAAAGGTGATGGATGTCATTATTTCCTGCAAACTAATATATTCTATGGTATCCTTGAAGAAGCAGCCTGAATGAGAACATTAAAGGAAGGAAAGCAGCAGATGTAGGCTCAAGCATGTAATCACGTAACATGCAGGACAACAAATAAAAATGCAGATATATTTTGTCTCCATGCATGCAATGTATGCCTGGGTACATAGAAAGTATGTACACACAGATGTATAATAATAAGATAAAAATAACACGTACAAGAGTGAGTTGTGGCTCTCATCCAAGTTAGACTCAGCTGGAGAGACATTTACAAACATCAGAGTCTTTGCATTGCCCCCAAGTGAATCGCTCATGAGCATTGTCAGTTTGTGATTCCTGTAAGGTATATGCTGCCCCTCTGTTGATAAAGCACTAATAACATCACCCAAGGCCGACAACGAGCGGTTAATACTTTGTGCTTCTTTCAATTGATTCCCCGAAGAACCTGATTTCTTTACCCTTTCAGAACCAGCAAGATCCACAAAACTCAACTGTAGATAAGATTGTAAGTTTCAGGTAATTGCTCAAACGAAAGGTAATCCTTTCAACTTTTTCTTAACATTGATGAAAGAAATATCACTTTAGGAAACAGGAATATATCAGAAAAGTGCCAGGAAAAACGGCATAAATTGCACAAGTACTACTTCAGAAACTTGAAATTTTGAAAAACTGCGTCAACTAACCGTTAGTGTAATAAACAAATATATTGCCCTCTTTCTAGCATTGAACAGCCAAGAGTATTTCAGTAGTATAGGGTTAATGAATACAATAAAAATGGTCATATAGAATAAATAACTGCTCCAAACACTAGTCTGGGATTCCAAGTTTCGAGAGCACCAGTACAATTTCAATTTAGTATATGCTGAAATCTGTTTTATGCAACTTCCAACACAACAATAAAACATATTCTAATAATAACATGACAGTTGAGATTCTTTCAATGATAAAAAATTGAATAAAAAATGCAATCCATCAAATAATGCACCAAAGAAAAGGTACAGTGTGAGACAATGTAATCATAAATACACTCCTGAATTTCAGTCAGTAAAATGTGAATACAAAAGGGGATTGTAAGATGATATGCCTTCCAGTTCCATATTTTATGACTCGTGGACCATGCTGTTATGAAACATTTCATTATAAAAAAACTATACAACAACTTCATTGAATAATTTAATTTTGAGTCAGTCAATCTACCTTCCCCTTGGCTTGGAATTGGGTTTGAAGATTGGTGCTTTCAATAACAATTGAAAGAATCAAATGTGACCTTGAACTTTCTTCATTCATTTGAGTTCCAGATGTATGACGTTGCTCTGATCCTTTAAAAATAAGGGAGTTCAATTCTTCAAGGCTTGAAACAGACACAGTTGTTACATTTTCTACAACCACCATACCCTGAAAAGAATGGAAGTTTACATCTTCTGTGTCAGAAGCAAGACTAAGTACACACTCCCACATAAGTTTCGACATGATAAACCGAAGTACCAAACACCTTCATACAATGACAGCTGCATAGAATGACCAACACCACCAAACAACTCATGCAGGTTCAATTGAAATAACACATATCTTTGAATCCCCATCTATGATAAACAATCCAAAGATATAAATTAAAGAAAATCACCTTCGAATCCTTTTTAATTTCAAGCCTTTGACGCTTTGAGTGTTTGGGTATGAGGAGATCTACAAGAGTATCCTGATACAACTCTAACATATACACCTGCACCAATTCATAACCATTTATTAATAAAGTTAAAAAAAAACCTTGATTTATATAATCTAGAGCAAACAAAAACTTAATTTCATTAGATTACGCAGAAGGTACAAGATTGTTGCCTAATATCAATGTAAGATTGCTTCCAAAACATTATGGCCATCATAGATTGCCATTGATTTAAATGAATCTTCACCCTAACCAACAATTGAATAGTAACTATTGGATCATCAATTCCTATGAAAAGATTAAACTCAAATCCACATGTTTATTTAGAAAAGGCGGTCATTCTTTTATGGAAAAAATTTATATAAGGTGTCAACCTTATACTGTACAAGTAAGGTGCACCTTAAAAACCCATTGGTGAACGTTGTTCCTATGCTGGAATACCCTCAAATTGATCATCTTGACCTCAAGATTCATAGACAAGAAAAAAAAAGGGGATTTTCAGTCCTAAAAATAGTCCATCTTCTAACACATTATCTGGACCTTCCATTTTCAATATTTTCAAGTATTTATAGATCTACTTGATCGTCACCATTTCTGGAACTTTAAATTTTATAATTGGGGGCAATAATAGATTTTCATATCATCGCAAGGCTTTGCAGCACCGAAACTGCATTTTTGGCATAATTATGGCGTGCACCTTACATCAATAGTATAAGGTTGACACCATATACAAACCTCACCTTTCTTTTAATAAATGACAAGTTTCTAAATTTAAAAGTAAAAGCAGAAAGCACTACCAAAAGATAAATCCGACATCACTTACCACTCAAGAACCACTCACTCTCATGGAGACACTCACTGCCCCTTTATATCAACCAGACATCAAATAATGCAATCTTTCTGTGTATTGCTTACCCCTCTGGAATTCTCACACAATTCCTACATCTCATGAAAGATGCTTCCCTGATTTCTTAGGAGCTTGATGGCATAATACCAAGCCTCTCTGCAGACATGACACTTCAACATCTACTCTAGGTACATCCTAGAAGAAGATCTGAGGGAACCAAAAATATCAAGAATTTATAGTAATGGATACACTTGCCTCTCCAATACAGAACCTGCCCCAATGGTTCAGCAGTTACAATTTAAAACTACCTGTCCACCTTGAGAGAATAGAGAAGAATAATATAAATATCCTGATCCTCCTAATAAGTCTAACCTCAGGCTCCATGGAGTCAACTACTCCACTTGATCCTATGAGTAAGTACCACTCATCCCTAACTAAGGTCCACATTTCTACAAAATATTGAATAAGCTTCCATTAAAATTGAGCATTCATATCTCATAAGGTCATCTCCACTATTCGTTACCTGTAGGAGCATCACTAACACCAATATAACTCCCTATGGCTTCTAAACAATTGACGGCCATAAATATGAACATACAACACAAAAGCTTAGTCATAGTTGTTGGGGGATTGAGGAAGAGGGATAATTGGAAAGTAAAATAACTTGGAAAATATAAGAGTCAGACTCAAAACCAAGTGTAAAAGAGAAAAACGTGTTTCATAAGCATGAATAAAATGCCATTTGGAGCTAAAAGGAGAGATTTCAAACATTAAATCCCTACAAATTTTGTGATCGTTGTTAGGGAGCAAGACAAGGATGTTCATGCCTTTAAGTATTCCTATAAAGTTTTCAAGTTGGGAAAGTGTCTGGTGATTCCTCACGAGATAAATTTGTGACCTTCTTAGAATGAAAAACAATTCAAAATACAAGAATGCCAAGTTGCAAGTATAGATTTGTCCATAGCAAAATGCATTTATCACATCATGAACACCAAATTGCAAAGATAGATTTGTCAATAGCATAGACATGAAGTATAAATTGCAAATATAGATTTGTCACACCATGAACACCAAATTGCAAATATAGATTTGTCGATAGCATATACAACCAAATATATAGAGACAGCTTAGATGCTTCACCTTCAATGAGAATGTAAATTTATTCCTGTCCCGCCTCAAAATCTTGAAGAGTTCAGCAGTTGCTCTAGGGGTGAGACCTGGATTGCTTTCAGATCCATAAATTGTAAATGTTTTCCCGGATCCAGTTTGCCCATACGCAAATATGCAAACATTATATCCATCAACAGCAGATTGAACCACATACTGCAAAAGAAATAAGCAAACTACATATATACGTATGATTTCCAATGAGGAAGAAGAAAAAGATATGGAAGTTCACAAAGAAGAGAGTTTCACTAATTACAGATGTAAAATAAAAAATGGGCAAGGAAAATGGGCAAGGAAATCTGAGAAATAAATACATTTTAAAATCAATAAACCTTTAAACTTTGAGATTTACCTTTGTATCCTCAAATATATCCTCCTGGGAAGCACGGTCATCAAATACATGATCATACTGGTGCTGTTTAAGTTTATCATCTTTCCACATATGTTCAATTGTAAATTCATCAAGAGCAGTAAGAACACATCGGTCTCTTTCCATAATTTCCTTTTCATTTAATGGACGCAAGCGGCAAAAGACACGGACCTTTCCTTTCATATCTGCAAAAATGTGCAAAGTCAAATTGCTTTACAAAGTATTAAGCAAGTTAACAATAAAGTGACCCATAAACTTTCATCCAATGAGCTGAAAAACAAACTTTGTTATGCATGACCTTTGACCACATTCATTTTCATTGATCCTTCATAGAAAAGAAAATGAAAGAACAATGATATCCCAGCAACCAACCTTCAATAGTATTGAAATAGCGTTTTCTTAAAAGTTGCTCTTCCTTGTAGAGTGCTTCTAATTCAACCAATTGTGCTCCCTGTTTCTTTATAATTGCAGCAGTCTGCTCATTCTTTCTATCAATGTCCTGAGAAACAGTATGTAATTATCTCAGCATAAACTGTGTCATTAGAATAATGATAATACACCCAACAATAATGATAATACACCCTTCAATATTGAGATGAGGCTTGGATGATGATGATGATGATGAATCTAGAAAAGAAGATGTTTCAGAAAAAAATATAACAATCTAGAAAAGAAGTAATAGCTATTGTTATGACTAAATTGTTCACAAATTAATAGTATACCTCTTTCATTTCACGAAGTTCCTCTAGTTCCTTTACATTACTTTGCAATGTTTCCAACTCTGTATTCCTGATTGTCAGAGTGGACTCTGCAACAGCCAAATCTTTTGTACTTTCACTTAGCTTCTTTTCCAATTCAGATATTCGCAGCCTGAATGTTTCGTACTCTTGTTTGAAATTCCTCTCAAGAACTTCTATCTATTATTGTGAATCCAAAAGTCAAAATGCAGCATATGACCTCACATCCAATCTAAGAAAGATTACGCCAAACACAAAATATAAATGGCACAGCATTACGAACATGAACTTTGTAAGAAACATAATAATAGACCAATTCAAATTTAAAGGACATATGAATCAAACTTATTAAAGATGTAAAGCAAAATAAGAAAGACTGCTAAGACACATCGACTTTATACAAAGAAAGAGTAAGGATTCAAAGAAAACCCAATACCTCATCTGCTTTCTTCTTTTCAAGCCTACAAACTCTTTGCTCCAACAACTGTTTTTCATTACTCAATCTCTTGATTGTCTCCTCAGCTGCATGCAGTTCTTCTGTCCTTGTTTTCAATTGTAATTGTAGTTTACTATGCACCTGCATAAATACACCAAAATTAGCGGTAAAAGTATCTCTAAAAGAAAGAGGCTTTGTAGTGACTATTCTTGCAGGCCGAAAATGCTAAAGCATAGCAAAGGTTATGCACATTGCAGAATGTAAATGACAATTTCATGGATTTCACAAACAGGACATGTCCATTTTAAAGATTCAACCCACAATACAGTAAAGAAAAATGTAATAATGAACAGTATACAACTTTATAAATGGAAATTTACCTCAGAAGTTGCAACAGACTTCTGTGTTCTTCCTGTAAAGAGTAATGAAGATTCCCCAGCTCGGTCAGACATTGCAGAGGCAGGTTCCCTCACAGCATTTCTTTGTGAAGATAAAGAATTTCCATTTGGCATCACTGCTAACGCAGCCTCAATGCTATTTTTTTCAACCGACGCTGCCTAAAACACAATGTGACACATGATTATGAAATTATGGAATATAATTTTTCAGTTATAAAATTTTCATGATAAGAATATATTATGATAGCAATAGAGCGAAAATAAGTCCACACCATACCTGCAAGGCAGAATCCTTTTCTTCAAATAACATTCTATACTTATCCCGGTCTTGAATAACATCACTCACGTTCTGTCTCTCAGATTTCAATGCATCTTTCAGCCCTTCCAACTCTTCATACATTTCCATCTCTTGCTTTTGTTTTACACGAAGATCTTCCAGTAACTGTAAAGGATAATAACTTACTGAACTATACATCATATCGAAGAAGGAAGAGAAACTGAAAAATCCAATGGTGATTTCTTACTTCACAAAAATTACTTTCCATTACTGTACATAGGGATGTTAGGGATGCAACACCAACCTCCATTGAAATTCAGTTACCTCATTAATAAAAAAGGAGAAGAAATTCATATTCTTAATGGGCAAAAGTGTACACAAAATAACACAAAAATTATAATGTGTGGCTGTTACTGCTGTCCTCTCTTTATTGTTAAATGCAGTGGATGTACAAACTGGTGGTTCTTACTGGATGATAAGTGGTAAGCTAAAGAGCATAAAGAAGTGAAAGTTTTATCTTTTTCAGTTGAACCATCTATTAGAATTCACTGAAGAAAGTTTTAACTTGTCTGATCAGATGAGAACTGATTGCACCGACTGTTGAAATTGCTGATTCCAAATCCAAACATTTGCTCACAACAAAGCGCTCTTAATGTTCTCTTTAACAAAATGCAGTCGTTTATTAAGTATCAGTTGTTTTTTTCGTTTTTTATTTCCCAACTTATGGGGGAAGCACTGAACCAAAAGCCCTCTCTCTTTTTAGTACGAGTGAGTTTTCCCTAAGTTTAAACTATAAACACGAAATTTCTAAAATCCAAAGGTGTCATCCTACATCTTTTTTTTGGTAATTCAGTGGGGAAGACAGGCCCCTACCCGTTTTTTCAATAGATTGGGGAGTTACATTTTGAGGGTGTTAATTGGGGGTGTTAGCGGTAGGAATGGATACCACAATGTGGAAACTGGGTGTAGGGATGCTACCACCACGACCCCAGCCCCATTCCTACATCTCACATGCACATGAATGACAATTCTATATAATTACAAAAGTGTAAATTCCATCTTTGGTTTTATTTATAAGTGAAAACCCCCTATTCTTGGTTAAAAAAACTCGAAAAGTAGCTTGTACAAAAATTTGGGAAATTTTCTGCCAAAGAAGTATGCAAACGGGGAATCAATTTCTAAGATCATTTTTTTAGAGTAGCAGTTTGACGTTTAAGTATAAAGTAGTTCACCATAAGAAACATACTTGAAATGAATGACTTACCTGTTCTGCATTTTTTTTTAGAATCTTGTAGCTCTTTAGACAACTCTTGCACACGTTTTTCATATATATCGAGGCCAGGGGCCTTAACATTCTGACAAAGATCTCCCTGAAGAGAGCCACTAGCAGTAGAACGTGCCTTAGAATATCTGCGAAGCATAACATCATTTATGTGTGTCTGGAGTGCAACACAAACTTCTTCCCCCTGCAGTAGAATTGGATTCAGATATTACAATAGCTATCAAAGGGAAGATTAAGAATTCTCATTCTAAAAGGTGGGTACACCAAATCCAAGGAATTGTTACAACAAAATACAAGATAAAAAGAAGGAAAACTAATAAATGGAAGATCAATATAACCTGCTTAGTTCCAAACTGAAAAATGTGAAGTACACCTGCAACTCTCATCTTGAAAAACACAGCAATATTGCTACTGCCAAATTGCATGATATCTCTTAATTCAGCAGAATGCAAGTATTCCTTTGGAACAGGACGAAAGAAATGAACCTGCAAATAGAAGAGTGATTGCTTGCATTACTCTTAAAATAAGAAATATATTGCGTTTGTAATGCAATTTACCCATTTTAGAACAATCAATGCTTGAAATGCATACCCCACGCTTGTTAATGCCTAAAATGATTCGACCAGGCAGAAGCCCAATTGGATCTTCTATCTTACGGACACCAAAGAAAACTGAGTTTCCATAAGGAAGGTTTCTCAAGATACGAAGGAATTGTTGCCTTGCATCATCCTTTGAAAGGTGTTCCTGCATATTCACGAAGTTCTGAGACAGCCTTCACCAAGTTTTTCTACTAGAGCAACCATGGCTAGCATAAAAATAGCTCATCTATATCACTTAAACAACAATCACAAATGCAGTCATCGAAACACAAACACATGAGTATCATAAAAATAAAATACCCATATGCACACCTTCCTGCATCCATCTATTTACACATCCACATGTCTATCAGCTTGCAAAACCCACATGCGCAAGCACTCACCCATGTCTATGTATGTGTACACATGTGTTCCCATTTGGAATTACTCACAAATGCAATATATGTGTATGCCATTCCATGAAATTCCAGACACACAGAAACCTCTTTGTCAAAAAAAGTACATTTTTTTTGCTTCCACGTGAAAAGAAAAACAGTTATTTCCATAAAAATAAAGCCATGCAATTTTCATCATGTCTGAAAAATGTAACTAATAATAAAGCAAAGATTTTGCATGATTCAATCATATTCTTTTGCTTCTGTGAATGGAATGACTCCCTGAAAAGAAAAATAATAATAAAGTGATGAAAACATCATTATATCTCTACAATAACAGGAAAAGACATTATCAGTCTACAATAAAATCATTATATGTAAAGTGCTATGTATATGGGTTAAACCCAGATGGGAAAAAGTGGCCACGCCCCAGAATATTAATTAATCTGCTTTGATAAATTAGATGCATGTCTCCAGGCCAGATCCAAATATCTTGATAATTAGTAGAGGTATATAAAGTATGATGATATCAACTATACTTTAATGAATCAAAAAATGAGATAATCCATTTACAAAATTGAGTTCATTGATTAAATTTTAAAAAAACTATGAAGTATGTACAATTATAATTATGTCTCAATGCTTGAATTTTGAAATACATGTTTAAGAACATGAAGTGCAAAGATGAATGGATCTAGCACCTCGAGGTATAAGGAAGATTGTTGATCAAGATGCCCAAGACCCCAAGTATCTAGTTATAACCATCATCATCATCATCCAAGCCTCATCCCAATTATTTGGGGTCAGCTACATGAATCATGTTCCTCCATTCTTTCCTATCAAGGATCATACCCTCAATAAGAACAAAAGTTATCATTCTTTTTCTCACTCCTTCTATCCATGTCCTTTTGGCCTTCCCCTTGCCTTTTGCGGGCCTTCCACTTAAACCAAATCGCACATCCTAACTGGTGTTGTATTAGGTCTAAGTTGCACATGGTCTAATAAGGGTGATGACCTTAAACTTTCCCTTACCGTCTCAAGCCCAGGTAAAGGAGGTATGGTTTGCATTAGATAGATAACCAATGTAAAACTTTGACACATCTTATCATGAATTCTAGCTCTAACCATAGTTGTCAATATTGTTACTTCTTTTTCAAAAAGCAGTTTTATCATTAATGATATTAGAAGTTCAGAACTACCTAACCATCCCCCAACCCCCACTCCCTCTTCTACCAAAAAAATATTTTTTTCACAGGTGCCACCTCCTATCAGTATTTGCTTCTAAAGGAGCATCAACTGGTCCCCCCACTCTCTTTTTAACTGGGAAGCATTAAGTAACCTCAAATTGCATGTCTTTAACAGGATACGCCTCAAATTTTTCCTTCTAGAAGCAAAATCCCGACACCGCATGTCCAAAGTGCATGTTTGTTTGTGCGGCAATTAACAATAACAAAGAGAAGGAAAGGTAATCGGGAGGAAGTGGTTAGAGCAATGACCATAATGAGTTAAGGGCAGTAATGTTGGTGAAGTTCTTGTTGGCAACAAAGATGAATCATAATGTCATTAATATAAAACGATTTGATTTTGTGTACAATGATGAATGAATACAATTGATTGGTCATTGTTTGAAACTGCTACAGCAAGACTCAGTCAAAACTGCTGAGGAGTTACTAGTTCTTATATAGGTAAATATCTCGAGGACAGGTTTGGTTATTGATAATTCTTATTTTACTAAAGTTTTATCTTCAACCAGTCAAAAAGGTTGAATTACATAAATTATATAAAAAGGTTAGACATAGGTATGCACCTTGTGATGAAAGATTCAGTGGCAATCTTGAGAAACATAATTGTGAATGATAATATAGTTGCTGTGAGTGAGAAGTGAAAACACAATACAGAACTACGATGTCTACATTTTTCACATTTGTGTAATATCTAACATTTTTCTCAATTTCCCTATTTTTCCTTTTCTCATTTTAGATTGGAAATCCTCCAAATTAGCTAAACAGCCAAAGGATTTCACTTCTCTATAAGAACCAAAACACTCAATTCAACCCCAGCAAGATGCATTCCCATATATTCAATTTGCACAAAGTAAACAAAGGTTCAACCTACATAACCCAACCAATTAAAGACAACTAGCAAATTATCGATAAACACAAAAGACAGAAAAATCCACATGTCAGAACAAGAGAGAAACAAGATATCACTCTTAAGACAGCTACTAAAGAGGGAGGTAAGAGTAGAAGATCAGTTTAAAAACTAGCAAAACTAGTCAATCATTGAAGGTCGTGAAGCCCCAGGGAGACGTGCCCCAAGCACAAAGTCAAATATTGATGAAAGTCACCTAAAAAGCTGGATTTCATGTTCTTGACGCTCAATCTTAATGTTACATTAATAAGCACAATAATATTTTCATATTGTCATGCCAAACTACAACACCCTGTGCAATGTTACGTAACATAAGCCTCACCATTGAGCGATAACGAGAAATGATATCCGTCTCCCAGTCCCTCTTTCCCCGAGTCATTGCAATTTGTCTTGGTAAAAATCTCTCAAGGAGTGATGTCCAGTCGCTACAAATATATTGTTGCTTTAGAAAAAAATTATCACCAATGAAAATAATCAAATCCCAAAACAAAAACAAAAACAACTACAACACAATGGTGCCACCATATTATTTAAAAATCCTCACCTGTGAGTTTCTGGACTATTAATGAATCCCATTTCGACCAATATTTGCAATGCAGATAGCTGTGCTGCATCATCCCTTCCAACAGGGTAATTACCCAGAACATAGTCATGTTGTAGCTGCCAGGGAAAAAAAAAGAGTCATCACCAAAATAGTTACCTTTAATAATGGAAAGAAATATTCTATGAAAGAATGTAAAAGAATCAATTCCTTTTCCTGATGAGTGAACATGAAATAATAAATCAAGCCAACAATAAATGTCATGAGCATAATGTCAAACCTGAACATAGGACAATTGTACAAACATCGGATCCACTACTGCTTCATCTGACTCCCGAAACAATCGCTTTTTGAAGGAAAGTTTGCAGTGCAATATATCTCCTTTACTACGATCTTTTTCTGCCCTGAATTCAGCCAGCAAATCCCCAATATATTTGTTGTCATCCAACCCGATATATTCCTCTGCGTGACATTAACACATGCAATAAGCAGAATCCTCTCTGAACACAGTAGATACACATTCTAGGAGCATTAATCTTCCTCATCCTATATGCACCATCTTCTCATCAGAAAATTAATCCAGTGAAGACAATGAAAAATCTTACCATTTCCATTGTCAAGTGATTTAGAACCAGTGACCAGTTTTCGACATTCAAATAGACTGAATGTAGTGTAAGCCGATAACTTGATGATTCCAGCAAGTTCCTGAAGGGCATATAGTTTATACTGGAGATTAGTAACACACAGAAAAACCTCAAGCAAGAACTTATGCAATTAAATTATCAAAATGTAACTGGATAAGTGAGAAACAATATATGTGTCTGTGCGCACTCACGCACACGCATGTGTGTGTATCATTTTTTGGGCTGAGTAATAAAAGGGAGTGCCTATAAAGAGATCGTTTACCTTTTGTACAAGGTGGTCACAAATGTTCTTGTCCCTTAGATTTCAAAATGGGCAGTTGTAAGAGTGTCATTGATTAGACACAAAGTTCAAAACAAAAAAAATTATCAGACTTCATGACCCACCCCAAGCCACCCAATTTGACATCTAATGAGTGGAAATGATTGTGACCTCCATGTACAAAAGATAAATGGTCTCTTTGTAGACAATCCCGTAATAAAATATAAACCCATGCCACTACACAATTCAAGACATGCTAAGGGCCTGCATCCCATGCTTATTGGGCCACACTATTTATCAGACAATTGTTAAGTGCAGCAGGTTGCAACTACATGTCACCTGCGGCCCCTGCCATATTTTGCAACCTTCAGTAAGCACAATTGTCAGGAACTTGAATTATTACTTTTGAAACAAATGAGGGAAAGTTAAAGTTATAAGGGCCTTCCAAGATACTTTTTATTGAATGTCTCTGAAGACATCCGATATTACAACAAGATGAATTATATTTGTATGGCACATCTTATTCAAGAGAACTTCAGAATCTACACAAACATAAAAGATTTTGCAGGCCACATTTTAGCTAAGAGAACTTTAGCATCTCCACAAACGAGACAAGAAGACACTATTCATCATACAAATAGCACCTACAATTAGTCAAAGACTACACCGCAAAAAACCTCTTAATGTTCCAGGTTCAATCCTTTCTATTTATATTGAAGTTAAGCTCTCGTTTATGGAAGAAACACCTTATCATGATCTATGACTGCATGTAAGATATTGCCTTCTTCCCTTAGCCAGCACAAGCAGCACCATAGTTATCAAATGTGGCCACCTACCGAATCATGCGGCCACATCAAGGTGGCAGAATCCTTGGCGGCACCACTTCAGCCTGCTGCAAAGGCAGGCTGAAGCGGTGCAGCCAAGGGTGAACTAAGAACTAAATTTGGTTCTAAGGAAATTAAATAGATATTTCTTTCAATTTTTATTTTTCTAGCAAAACCTATCCACTTTATTAGAATATTTTTTGGGCACACAGTATCGGATAAGGGTTGCTCCTCTTCAAGCAGCCACATAATCTGTTATGAAGCTGTATTTAATAACTACAGGCTGAGTGTACTTATCTTTTGGGATTATGTTTTGGTCTTGAACTTTTGGTTTTCAGTTATTACTTTGCATTTGCATATGTGCTACAGTTGTTGCTTCCTATATTTATTTAACAGTATGACATTATGCTTGCTTTCTTAATTGCTTGGTTTATTAACATATTCTTTTGTTTTTTATTGAATTTGATGAATAGATTGGATCATTAGATTTTAAATGCTATTTTTGTTAGAGTTAGAGACAGAAAATATCACTGCTACACTATCAAAGACTCATGCAGCATGCATATTAGAGTCAAAGAATAAGTTAAAATATTTACAATCGCATAACTTACATATTCTTGTTTATTTGGATTCCTATAAATTTTTTAATTTTTTGAAATTTTTTTATTTATTGCCCACATAGTAAGCGATGCCTCCACATTGCGGCAGTACACAGCACATCACACTACACAAGCAACTCACACCTCATCCTGTATTTGTTAGCCTTAAGCAGCACGCTTGTATTATTGTTTCTTTAAAGATGAAATTCCCTAATATAGGATATATTTTAAATGCACGTGAGAAACTATTCCACTATAAATTACCTTACTCAACAAGAAGTAACATAAAAATCAAATTAGAGAGCACGAAATTAGAAATACCTCAATGGCCTCAGCAACTGTGGTTGTCATGTCATAAGAAATTTCTTCAAATGTCTCATCTAAAAAAAATACAATTGTTGTGAGCTTTCTACCAGTTAGAAGAGCTTCAATTTCCTCCCTGCCAGGAATTGTATGCCTGGGTCCAGCCTTCACTGAGCGCTTCAAAGCATTCCATGTATTCAAAGCGAGGGTTTGAACTTCAGGATCTGAATTTGCTTCATGGGCTACACTATGGACATACTCGGACAAATAACCCCCAATATCCTTATTAGGAGGCATTGCAGATGCACATAGATACATTAGCTCCCATGCTTTTAGCAAGCAGTGCCTATAAGACCAACAACAGGCAATCTACTTAGAAGACATGCTATGCCATTTGCAAATGCACTCTTCATCATGAATATATATAGAAGAAGATACTCTACCTACTGCATCATATCATAAATCTTTCACATATGAGGTAGAGTTTTGCACCCAAAAAGAAAAAAAGAAATTGCATGTTAGAAGGCAGTTTTTAAAAAGTCACTCATCTAAATAGGGAATTGCAAAAGATCAATCCGATTTTGGGGATGAATCAGCGATTTATAAGTTCTAATATATTATACATAGAATACACAGCACAGCATAAATGGCTTTGAGTTTCTGATCTTTTCTGTGAGGGCTAAGGTTCAAACCCCTCTTTGTGCGTTCTTCTTTTAAAATATACTACATTGTATAGAACAGTTTAACATATTATATAAAGTTAACATAGGCTATGAAATTCTATTTTAAACACTAAAAGACATCGGGAGGAATTAATCCTCAATTCTTGCAGTTCTCAACCGTGAGGCCTAACCAAGAAAACTCCTCAATTTCCTATATTATATCTCTGTCTCTTTTTTTTTGTTTTTTTTTAACTTTCCGGATTGCCATTTTAGCTGATCCGGATTGGGTTTGCTGGATGGGCAATGCACCCCATCAATCCATTTTTAAAACATTTGTGAAAGCCTAAAATAAATATTTAAGGCAAACTAATGTAAATGAGTAAACAAAACAATTCACTAGCAAAGTAATGAACAAAGCCACCCTAATTTGCCAATGCCAAATTTCATAAGGCAACTCGATCATAATTTTGGAGATGTCAATCACTGGGGGAGTATCTGCCTAATCTATGACACCACATTGTTCGAGTTAGTTGCCTATATAATCTTTCATTCAATCATCAAGTATCCTCATTTAAGGATCTAATTCATCTTATAAATATGTACATACTCATAACTCCATCATCCGTGGTTTGTGGATTTAAGTCTATATTGAGTGTTCTGTAATAAGTTGCAAACATTTTCTTGAACATATATCTTTCGAGGGAGGAGGCAAGCATGTGGCACCATGGAAGGACAACATATGAGATCAGTCGTACTAGTATTGTTCCTAAGCATGCTCAAAAGCAGGCTTCAGCAGGATTCTGGACATTAATGTGCATGTTCTTCCTTTCTCCACTTTCTTTGGGTAGTGACGTATGAAGTGAGACACAAGGACCCTTTAAGATGCCAGTCATATTAGTACATCAATGGCCTGCACAAGCTTAAATTCTGGTGTGTGATCTGGTACACTAGATCCTTTCTTTTTCTTGATAAGGGAGTGCCATGCAGGGAAGAGGGAGAAATAAAATAGAATAAATCAGAGAAAAGAAAATAAAAAAAAAGGGAGGAGAGAATGTACCCTCTCTCTAGCATCTGCAGGAGAGTCCACCCTGAAAAAGGAGATTGATTTGTGAGTCCTGTGAAAAGATTTCTCTTTTCTATTCTGCCAACCCTTTGTTGTTTATTTCATTTTTCTAATTTATTTTATTTTCTTTCTCCCACTTCCCTGCATCAAAGCGAGTGCTATGAAGAAACCCCACCCCCAACCTCCATTTCAAAAGTATACTTGGAAACAACAAACAGAAATAATGACAAAACAAAGGAATTTATCATTCAAAATAAAAGACATAGACCTAATAAAACGTCTCCTGTATCAAAGGTTTCAGTCAAAATGCATGCCCTTCAAGGAAAGTCCATGATATTGATCAAGGGCTTGTCCTAGTTGTTTCCATGAAGATGGGCATAGAGAAGTAAGAGCTTGTCCTAGCTGTTTCCATGAAGACAGCCATATAAATTGTGTGCAGTCACCATGAGAAACAGGAGTGCCACCTCAGCAAAAAATTCTAGACTTTAAGGCAAACCTGGAACCGTTCATATACCACTGCGATGAGATTCAACTTTGGTTTCCTTGAGAAATGACTTCCAATCCTATTTGAGAAACTGACTCCTTGAATGTTTCTCGATATTGTGCACAATTAACCTCTCGCACCAATTAGCAATCTCCGTAGAATAGTATTCCTCAAAAACAAAATTGCAAAAAAAATAATAATAATATAACAGAATTGCAAAATTATACCAAATTAAGGAATAAAACAAACTGAGGAGCGCTCATTGTCTAATTTATACATGTCTCTTCGTTTGTACAGAAATGTGCATGATAATGCCAGTAATAGTAAGGGCACGAATGAAAATTTTCAGGTCTGGCCAAGTTTCTGTGGAATTTATCATTGCTAAAGTATATACATTTTAAAATAGAGTACAAGTCAGCAAAAGAGAGAAATGAATAATCAAAGGAGCTCTCTAAGAAAGCATAAAAAATTCAAATCTTAGAACGAGAAATTCTTTATTAAAGTTTTGAGTTTCTAACCACAGAGGTAATAATACAGTCAAAATTCTAAAACTTTGCGGCTTTCGCATAACTAACCTATTAAGACAAATCTATACAGAAGTAATGATAAGATATGATATCATATTCTACATGATAACATCTTAACTACAGCAACTAACTAATAAAATGAAAGGATTGCAGGAGAACCAAAACCTTTCAGGGTTGTTGCGTGTTTGTTTTGAGATCTGAACAAAAAGTTCATCCCGAAGTTCAGAACGCTTCAGCGTCTGCTTATAGAGCTTGGAAACAAGATCAATTTGGTCCTCCATGCTTAAGGGTGATACTTTGTCAGATGCATCAACCCCCATGTACTTCAAAACTACCTGGAAGAGTTTCACTGCACGGCTTACCATATCACTGCTAATTCTAAGAAGAGAAGTTGGAATGGGCTCCTGCCAAAAGAATAGAAGAGACAAGTAATAAGTTACCAAGCACTGAAATGTGACTAAGAAACCAACAGGAAAACAGTATTTATTTTTTATTATATGTTCTGCCAACATCCATCAAAGATATTCCCATCACTACAGAACGACAGCCATCATGCCTTTGTTGACGTTGGCATCAATATTTAGCTCCACAATTGGCAAATGGAACTTACTTTCTGGAAACAAAGCATATCCTCCAATGTAAATTTTTCCCGAATTTGTGGTCCCACTGATCGTTTGGAAAAAAAGCCACGCTTTCCCGCAGACTGTATCTGCTTCTGCATGGCTCTCAAGAATCCTTCTACCTAGTTCGAATTGGTGGAAGCAAAAGGCATGCATCAAACAAAAATATTGCAAGAAAATCAATTAAAAAATATTATGATTAAACAAGAAAATGACTCAACAATCCAACATATGATGAAATTGATCGAAGGAGAGATATGACAAATTTAAAAAATTAAAGACAAGCCACTTTTTTCTTTTGACTATTGTGAACAAGTCTGAAAGTTAAAACTTTTCTAATGAGGACAACAGGCATGATATCACTTTACAAAAGATATATTAAGCAGTAGAAATGAAGAGAAAACAGAGAGATTTTTTTTTTTTTGATGAAAGGCTAACTAAAACAGAGAGATATTAAGCGTTATAGTGTCTAAGAAGTTAAACAATTGCTACAATAGAAGGTAAAGTATGGCTTATTGCCATGAACAGAAAGCACAGAATCCATTAATGGTCTCACAACCTTTGGCACTGTTTGGACAGGAGAACAACTCCAATAATCAAAGAGAATCATTCATAAATGTGGAACAACCCTTTTGTCTACTGCAGGGCCAGGGACATCAGTATTTTTGTTGACAGTGGACTAGAGAAGTAGACCAAGTACGGCCATTTTTAACTCATAGGTGAAGGAAAAAAAAACCAGCCATGTTCCCAAAATTGAGTCCATCCGAACAGAGCCTTCAGTTGTTCGCATTTATATGAATATCAATATACATCAGGCCAATAGCCCGTCAACCCACTGTATCAGTTGACACAGAGATTGCATATCTCGCTTTGCCAAAATGTTAAACTGCCTTTGAAAGAGACATCAATAGCTCACAAATATTTATATTTGAGAAAAAATAAGGCCAGCTCAAGATTTATCATCAAAGTATAAATGGAGAAAGCATGCCATACCTGGACCTGCATTCTTCAACTACAAGATTAGTAGGCTAGTGTTTGGCCACAGATGGAGAAAATAAATGACCACTTCTCCCATCAGCAATACTTTTTAAATTGGTGAAGGACTTCACCAAAAATTTCATGGCAGGTACTAGAAGATACCATCTTCCTTTCTTATTTACTATTATGTCCAAAGATTTAGACACATAATAGGTTGGACGTTAAGCAGAGATAAAACTTTTCCAAACTGCTGCTTGAGATAGAATACATTCTCTGTCTTCAGATCATAAACAATGCTAGTTTTATGAGATGCTTCAATGTTCCAAAAGTAAATTGTGGAGTCTATCCTCCAAGATGCTGAATGCTAATGTCAAATCCAAAAATCCCTCAATAAGATCTAAAAAAGTGCGGTTCTCTGTAGATTTGGTCATGATTAGAATTATTGTAAGCAGTTTGGTTTATTGTGAAAACTTCCCAAACTTCATCTGATCTGTTAATGTAAGAAAGTCAATAAAGTAGTTGCAGAATTATTATTGGGAGATTGAAAGAAAGATTTCTCCTGAAGGACCAACATCTTCCTGCAATGCATATCCATGTGCACTTTAAGTCAGTCTTCCTAACACCAACATCTGTTATGGAGGATGTGAGAAGGAATCCTGTGCATTTAAGAATACAGAAGGATGTCTGATTTAAATCAAATGGTTGCCTAAATGTTGAGGAAGGTCCATGAGGCATCATCATAAGGCACATAATCCTGAAGGCCTATAACTTCATATATCAATGGGATATGCACATCGTGTAGCAAAACATGAAAGCCCTCTTAAGTAAAATCAAGATTAATTCCTCATCTTTCGCTGTTCCTAGAACAGTGGAAGGAGCCCTCTCACTATGATTCATCAGCTCAATGATCTACCATATTTTCATGGAGGCTTGCAGATGTGTTTGAAGAACTTGGGCAGTTGTAAGCTTTATGAAAGCCCCACGACAAGAACAATGCATTGCATCAGCCTTATGTAGGCATAAAAGGGAATCGGTAAAGTAGGTTTGAATGTATGTGTCTCTGTCGTTTATTATAATTGTTGCAAAATCTTTATAGTGGTTCTCTAAAAATATAGTTCTTCATTTGCTAAAAGCAAAGGTAATTTTCATTCTAGCCGACCCCAAATAGTTGGGAAGAGGCTGTGATGATGATGATGATGAAAGGTAATCTTCATTCTAATGAAGGATACTTATTAAAAAAGGATGTTTCCTTTGATTCAATAAACATCACAATCACAAATGCAAGAAAGATAAATTCGTATCAAACTACGTGTAAATGAATCTGAAAAATCAGAAAGGGTTATTCTCCTCATGGTATATGACTATCTTCAGAAAAACCCAGATCCATTTAACACGTTTCAAAGCAAATCACCCTTTCGTCAAACAATCTCTAACCTGGAAGCGGTCAAGCAAAGGTACAGCACCAGCCAGCTCGGGGGGTACTGACATAGAAAGGGTCCTCGGAGTGCTGCAAAAAATCAACATGACTAAAATGTTACCAAGTTATGAAGTAAGGCCATGGCATACACCAAATTATAGAACTCCATGCGCTAAATAGATGATTTACATTCAATATGGGTAATATTTAACATACTATTGAACACGGGTAGATAGAATTAGTGAGAACAATCACAGCATCAATAACAATACAATGATGATGATGAAATGATAGTGCTAAAACAAACAACAAGAATAGTAGAAGGAGATTTGGGCCTTACGGGGCGAAATTTGAACCATCGCTATCATAATCATCGGCATTAGAATTGCCAAAAGCATTATGTAGAGGTGTGCTATCAGCCGAGCTCACTGATGAGTTCCTCATCCTCATTGAATCACCATTAACAGAAGGCGTATCATAAGTCATCCTGATTAGTTTATTCCGTATAAGTCAGACCAACCTTGCTCTAACAAAAAAAAATGGATACAATGATAGTCCTGACAACAAAAATGATAAAAATTGTACGGATTGAAAATAATGCCCTAATAAATTTGAAAAAGTAGGAAAATTCGAGCAATGACTTCATTTTCGTTGATATATAGTACACCTAGAACAATAACATTATATGCATATAAATATAAAAGTAAACCTCCAGGTTTTCCAGTAAAAATGAAGAGGAAACAAAGAAAATGGAAAAAAGCAAATACTAATAAATAGCTGAGAAATTGATTATTATCCCATTCACTGTTTCACTCAAAAAGCATCAATCAATATTTCATTCAAATTCCTTAAAAAACTTAAGAAACGTTCAAAATTTATAAAATGCAGATAAAATAATAAAATCATCCACAGTGTAAAATCATTTACAAAATTAATTTGAAGTAAATTCCATGAATCGTGTCAATGGAATCACTATATGAAGAGATAAATCCTAGCCCCAAAGTTACATACTTCTTCTCATTCACGGATAAACTTACAAACATTTCAAATCAGAACGAAGCTCAAAGATAACTCACAAAAATTAGAAAAACCACAATAAAATAGCAAAGATATCCACCCATTTCAGTAAAAAACCGCAGTTAGAGAGAGAGTGTGTACAGGTCTCGAGAGAGAATGATCACTCAAATCTGAAAATGTAGGTAAAAACGATGAGGAAATGCAGAGCAAACGGAAGGTTACTTACCCTGAAAATGGCATTACAACGGAGATCTCTGGCTTTGGAGAAGAATCAGTGTCTCAGGAAATTAGGGCTTTCAGGTAGAGCCCGGTTCTCGATCTGGTACCAGTTGAACGAAGACAGAGAGAGGAGTCACGGGGCACAAATTAATATTTTAAAAAAACGGAAATTTGGTCATAAATAAATTGAAAAATGGGCGCTAAACTCCGAGGACACATCAGTATATATATTATGCATGTATGTAAACATGCATGCATAGATGAAACCATACATACACGCATGCATGAGTTGGAGTTCATCACGGGTGCGGTGTGTTAAGAACTGCTTGAAAATGAAGTTTGAAGTGCTGAGGAGCTCAAATAAGAAAGCTTGAAAGACGCCGGCGTTATCAATGGCCGGAGCCGGCCTCTCTCTCTCGAAGTCTCATAAATTACTGAGCCAATACTCTCTCTCTCTCTCTCTCTCTCTCTCTCTCTCATATGAAGTGAGCGAAGATATTTGGAATGGTAATTTATTAGAATCGAGCCGAGATTGCTCTAAGTAACAGGTGTTCACAATATGGGCCGGGTTCAACTCGGAACTGGCTGGTTAGATTGGAACCAGGTAAGGACCGACTCTGGTGATCTTGCCCGGTATTCAAAAAATATTTCAAAAACAAATAAATAAATCTCAAAAAATAATAGATTTGTTTGTAATGAATTTTTTAATGTTTTATATCATTTTGACAAAAATTGAAAAGGGTTTTGGCCATCAATATTTATTTCTACATTTTTCTCATATTAAAAAAAAAATTCAAACATACCTTGGGCACAAATCAATTTTTTTTAAAATCCATTTTCACTAATTTTCAACCTGATTTGAATGTGTTTTTTTTTTTTTGACAATATTACTTAAATTTATGAATCAATCATGGAATACAACATCTCAAGAGATGATTACATAAAAAATCACAGTAGAATGCATAAGAGCTCCTCACTCGGCCAAATCATCTGCAATGTCATTCGCCTCCCTATACACAGACTGTAAAGCCGCACACATATCTATAATATTCATCAGTATAGAAGTGCTTTGTTTAATCATGCTTTAAGTGTATTTTTCATTTTTTTTTTTATTTTTTATTTTTTAACACTTTTTTAACCTACCAAGACTTACCCAATTTGCCCATTCAACCGGCTCGTTTTACCCGTTACTAAAAAAAAAAAAACTAGCCCTTCCCTAGGGCGGTTCGATTTTTCGAACACTAAATGCAACTCTCTCTCTCTCGCTCATAAATTATGAGAAGATTGCGGCCTCTCTCTCTCTCACACATAAATTGAAGTGATAATGTCGAAGTAATTGTGTCCCTGTATTTCTCTCATTAATTGAGTGAAGATTGTCTTATGTGACTCCCTCACAAGTTCAGCCCACACTCTTCATTGTAACTCTCTCTTCATGAAGTGGAAGGAAATTGTCTTTGAATTCAAATATTGAAGGGGACAAGGATCCTATCTAACAATACAAAACGAAGGTACACGACATGTGGCAGCAAATAAAGACGTATTTTGGAATAAGACGCCAGAAACTCCCTTCCATTAGAAGACAACAGCGAGTCCATAATCAATATAGGCACGGTTTCTATGAGCCCAGGGACTCGTATATAACAATGTGCTCCCTCTCGATAATCCATTTTCGAAATGGATTTTGGCAAGAAATATAATTTCCAACGTTGATATGTAAAAATTCTAAAAAATAAAAAATGATAATTTTTTAAAAAAATATCTAGATCATTGGTTTTATTTTTTTGGAGAGACCACCATTTATATCCGTCTTTTTTATGGATGGACTATGCATTTAACACTTTGCCGATAAGTATTTTTTCTTAGTCCTTCTTTAAAGTAATGTCGGAGTAAAATTTTGGAGAATAAGTATATTCTATAATAAATTGTATACAAATATCTTACTTCAAGTTGCATAAGTGGTGAAACATGCTTGCATAAGGATTTCTATCAAAATCATAATATTTTCTGATGATTTTATATAGCAACGTCTCTTGTGTGACTCCTTTTACCCTCGAAATTTACTAAAGTCTTCTTCTTTATTGAAAATATTGCGGAAAATAAAAAAAAAACATTTTATCATAACTGCCACAATGAAATTTCCACAGCTCCATTCAAAATTAAAATAGCATGTCCTAACAAAATAGGACTTCATGTTCAAACAATCGAGAGCCCGTCTAGGGGTGGCAATGGGATCGGTGGCATAGGCCCGTCGGCCAAGCCCCAAAAAATTGGACCTAGACCGGCCCAAGGATAGGATCTTGTCAATCCTAGGCCAAGACCACCTGAGTTTGGCTCCGGCCTTTTTTTCTCTTTTTTTTTTTTGCTCTCTATTTGGCCTGACCTGGGTTTGGGCCTCTTTGGCCTAGCTAGCCTTACAGGACCGGGGTTGGGCTAGCGCCGGCACCAAGGGTGGTACGGTCCAATGGCTGTCCCACCCCATTGCCAGCCTCATGAATGTCTTGACAGCATAGATAAGTACTTCGAAGAAAAGTTAGAATAGTTAAAATATACGGAATAAAGTTAAATATGAAAAACTATAAATATAAATAAGCAACTAATCAGGTAAAGAAGTAATAATTAATTTCTTATTAGATAAATAATAAAATAAATACTTATAGATAAATTATGTTATGAGCAATATATTTAAAAGAAATAGCACATATTTTTCCATAGAAGTCGACCTTTTTGTCATTTATTTTACTTGGAAACTACTTCTATGAACCAAAGTATTTTCTATAGGTGGAGGATGGGTTTAGGCATTAGATGGAGGACCATTCCACCTAGGGCTGAGAATTTACCCAATCTAGGTCTGATATCCGAAATCAGATCACATCCGAATCTGGGTATAGATCCAAGTTTTTGGTATGAAATTCTAATCCAGATCCAAAATCATATTCGATTGGTAATTCGGATAGATCCGAGTATAGGTGGATCCGACTTGGCTTTTTTAAATTATATATATATATATGTTATAATTTATATATAATTATTTTAATTTTTATAATTATATTTTAACTTTATAATATACAAAATTGGAATTGATCCAGATCCAAAACCTATGTATAGTTTTGGATATGGATCTCGATTCGAATATTTTGGATATGATTGGATTTGGATCTGGATCCGATGTATAATTTTGGATCCGAACCCAATCTGAAAAATTCTCACCCCTATTTCCACCCTTCTTTTTTAAGTGGGCTCACCCCTAACTCCACCCTTCTTTTTTAAGTGGGCTCACCCCTAACTCCCCCCTTCTTTTTTAAGTGGGCTCACCCCTAATTCCACCCTTAGTTTTTAAGTGGGCTAGTAAGTAGGTAGTGCTAAAACTTTGCCCACGTGTGTTTTTGGAGTGGGCAGTAAGAACATCCCAAACTCCGACCCATCCACTTAAGAGCAAGAAATGTAAAGCGCCTAGAATAAAACCATGTTTCACTTGTTAAACCACACAGCAGGAGGTTTCGCATATGTAAAAAAACCTAAGACAGAAAACTCCATATAAATAAAATTTAGAACATATCCCAAGTTTTTTTTTATAAAAAGGAAATTGATCAAGATACAAATTAGTTTTCAACTATTTAACATTTTGCCTTGTATTAATTCCAACTCAAAATCATATGTATTTTGATTAGCATTTTGAAATTGAATCAAAATACATGGATAAATGTTAAATAGTAAATATCTCACAACATTTTGACAATTTCTCATTTACTCATTACTCTCGTTTTTTAGGGAAACCAAATAGATTAAAAAAAAGTATACAAAAAGATTATTTACCATAGCTACAAGCATGTCACAATCATTATTGGTCATTAATGTGAAATATGACGATTTGAAAGGTATTATTGACATGACTCAAAGTCTAAAATAAAATTTTTCGAACTCTATGACATACTCTAAGCTATCACATTTATATCTGACAGGTAAAGGTAATTATAACCTCCCTATACATAATGAAATGGTCTTAGTATACAGTCTCGCAATTTAACATACATTTGATTTAATACCATCTCATGTATAAATTCAGATTTTATACATTCCACACATAAAACATAAGCAGGGTTTGACTCGAACCAAGGCATATCCACTCCCATTTCAAATTCCATCCGAAATTTCTCTCAACACGAGGCAGTTTCACATGTTTATAATAAGTCAAAAGATTATATGCTCCTGCGGGAGCATATCAAACATTCATCACCACAGGTAAAACTCTGTTTAGAAGTACTCCCAGGATGCCAGTATTTTAGGATCTCCTCAACTTAGCGACTAACCGCAAAGAAAAAAAATGCACTCTCTATGTGCCTGAAACAATAATATCCTAGCTTCCTAAGATTTAGGTGACCAACTTTAAAGAGAAAGAAAAAATGATAAAACAATGTATTTATATGTAAAAATAAAAATAAAACAATAAATAAATAAAAAAGACGTCATAATCACTCTTGTCTACGAATATACTATTTATCTTTTTATATAAGGAGGTCACAATTATTTATGTCCCCTAAATTTCAAAATAGATGGTTGTAAGAATGTCATTGAATAAACGAAGTTTAAAAATAAATAAATTCTCAAATTTTGTGACTCACCCTAAACCATCCAATTTGATATTTAATGAGTAGGAATAGTTGTGACCTCCTTGTACAATAGATAAATAATATCTTTGTAGACATTTCCTAAAAAACATGGGATCTTGAAAATCGAATAGATACCCTCCAAATTTTGTAGACATGCAAATTTTGGAAGTTTGATGAATTTTTTTTGCGCATATAAAATTTAAAGTTTAACAGATAGGCTTATGTTACAATTAAAAAAACATAAAAGAGATGATCCAATTTTTTTATGGTTTTACATGAGTTTTTAGGAACTCTAGATCATTTTTATTTTTTCCCCCCTGGAAAATTCATGATTCCAAAATGCAATGTTTAGAAACATGGATCAGTGATTTAGATTGCCAAACCCATAAATCATTGTGGACTAGTGGACTGGCGATCCAATTGAGAAAACCCAATTTTTTTTAAAAAAAAAGTTGAGAAAAAAATTAAAATAATAAAAAAGGGTACGGTTGAATCGGCCGGTTCTGTCAACCGGCCGATTCCTGGAAAAACCCAACCAACCCCCTAGCCCCTCCAAAATCCCAATCCGAATCGATAATTCCTATATGAATCACTGTTTTTACAA